CCGGTACCAGCGCAGCGCGATTCCCGGCAGTGTCGGTGACCGTCCCGGTCCCAGTGCCAGTCCCGGTGCCGGGCAGTGCCCGTCCCGCGCGGTGCCAGTGCCGGTCCCAGTGCCAGTGCAGTCCCCGGCAGTCCCGTCCCCGGTGCGGTGCCAGTACAGGCCGGCGACAGTGACAGCGTCGGTGCCATCCCGGTCGGTGCTATCCCGGTGCCGATGCCAGCCCGGTGCCGAGCGGATCCCGCGGGGCGCCGCCGCCGCTCGGTGCCGCCCCCGGCCGCAGCACCGCCCCCAGCCCGCCCGCCCGGGGCTCTCGGGGCTCTCGGGGAGCGGGGCCGGTGCGGAGCGCGATGGTCCCGGCGGCGCCTCCCCGCTCCTGCCTCCTGCTGACGGCCGCGCTGCTGCCGCTGCTGCCCGTACCGGCACCGGGAACGGCCCCGGGCCTCCCCGCGCTCACCGACGCCGAGATCGAGGAGTTCCTGCGGGGCTTCCTTGGACCCGGGGACGGCGGGGAGCGGGACGGGGAGCGGGACGGGGACGGTACCGAGCTGGGTTTTGGCACCGACCTCGGCATCGGCATCGGCACCGGCACCGGTGAGCGATCGGCACCAGGATCCCGCTGAGAACGGGAGTGGCGGGAGCGGGGGGATCCCCGAGCCCGGCCCCGCCGCACTCACCCTGCCTCGGGGCTGCTGCCCCCGCCTTCTGTCCCCTCAGACTCCCCAGGGCCGCTGACGGAGCCTGAGAAACCCAAGAAGGGCAAGAAGGAAAAACCCCCCAAGAAGAACAAGGAGAGACCCCGGGGCCCCAAGAAGGATAAGGATAAGGACAAGGTCAAGGACAAGGATCGGGGCAAAAACAAACCCCCCAAGAAATCCAAGGAGAAGCCACCGAAAGGCTCTGAAAACCCACCAAAAGGCTCCGAAAAGACTCCAAAAGGCTCTGAAAAAAMCCCAAAAGGCTCTGAAAAAAMCCCAAAAGGCTCCAAAAAGCCCAAGGTGAAGCCACCCAAGGCCACCAAACCCTCTGGCAAGAAGCCACCAGTGCCACCAAGCCCCTNAGTGCCACCAAGCCCCTCTACTGAGCCCCCCATTACCCTGCAGCCCCCACGGGCTGAGGATGATGAAGAGAAACCCAGATTCCTGGAGCCTTCACRCTACAAGGAGGAGGAGGAGRAGGAGAACGGAGGTGTCCGAGGTGAGTTTTGGGGACACACATCTTGCCATGAGTAGGGTTGGGGTGGGAGTCTCAGGACAGCACAGCATCACCCCACGTCCTGCCCTGGTGGCACCCTACAGCTGGCYGGGCTTTGTCCCCTTGGCTTTCCCCTCTCTGTCCCCCTGCTTTCTTCCCCATGGGATTTTCTTCCCACTGTGGGGTTAGGAGGGGCCAGGACAGGGGCCTTGGGAGGCCATGCCAGCCCCTCACTCTGTCCCTGTGCCCAGGAGAGCTGGAAGAGCCGCTGAGCAAGCGCTGGGGGCTGGGTAGGGAGGACTGGGACCCTGAGCCCCAGCCAGGTGAGTACCCAATCCCCAGGGCCACCACCCTAAGGCCACCACCCTATGTCTTGGGTCCACCCCTATGCCCCCTGGGGCATCTCCTTGTGTCTTGGGGCCACGTCCCTCTCCCCAAATGTCACCTCCCAAATGCCATGTCCCAGCTCCTGAAGGCCATGCTCCTGTTCCCAAACAACTCCTTGTTYCCAAATGCCACCTTCCTGCACCCCTGTGTCACCTCCCGGTGTCCCAGCACCATCTCTTTGCATCCCASTGCCATCACCTTGCACACCAGGGCCACCTCCTCCCTCCTCCTTGGTATCACTTCCCTGCACCCCACTGCACTCTGGACCACCTCCCTCCTCCCAAGTGTCACCTCCTGTGTGCCCCAGGGCCACCACCCTTACCTCAAGGCCACCCTCCTGTTCAAAAGTGCCACCTCCCTGCTCCAGGTTGTCCCCTCCCTGTGCCCTGGTGCCACCCTGTGCCCCTTTTCTCTGCATCTCTTCTCCTCAGAGATCCCCGAGGAGCCGGAACCCCCGACCCTGGACTACAACGAGCAGCTGGAGCGGGAGGACTACGAGGACTGTACGGTGCTGGGGTGTGGGGGATGGGGTCATCGGGACCCCCTGGCCTTCAGCGAGGGATGGAGGGGCTGTCCCCCCCTGCCGCCCCACGGAGCCGGTGCCACCCTCTGTGTCCCCAGTTGAGTACATCCGGCGGCAGCAGAAGCCCCCCAAGCCCCCGAGCAGGAGGAGACCTGAGCGGGTCTGGCCCCAGCCCGAGGAGACAAGTATGTGGGACAGTGGGGACATGGGGGGCTGGCACCACTTGGGGTGAGGTTGGGGGACAGTCCCCAGCCTTGGGAAGCCAGGGAAGGAGCATTTTKGGACATCCCGGAGCTGGGGAGGGCATGGGGACAGCACAATGGSTGCAGGGACCCTGTAGGGATATGGGAACTCTTGGTGGCATGGGGGATATAGACGGGTCCCGTGGGGACATAGATGGGTCCAGGAA